TTCAACAATGTTGATAATGCATTGAAAAACGTAAACATTGAAAAGAACTTTGAAACTTTGCTTGTTTCTTACTTCATCCCATCTTCCTTCCCTAATTCCTCTTTCTTTCTAACCCTTCACCTTTACTCCTCTAGTTCCTTCTCCGCCCCTCTCACTCTTGTTATGCACTGCTTTTTTTATTCCGATGTTTCACTCCTATCTTCAACATCCTACTACTGTCTGTTTTCTCGATATATTTTTGACGAAAAGAAACTGAAAGTTTCTTTAAAATCTCAACAACCAATAGTCAAGAAAAAACAGCGACCAACTGCTTGTTACCAGTGAAGGAGGTAAGAGAAACTGGAGGAGGAAAAGCAAAGAACAAAGGCTTTTTGTACGCGCAGAAAATGAGCTTGAAACTACTGTACTAGCACGGAGAGAATGAGGAAAGTAAGAATTATGGGAGCCACACGTTTGTTTCACTGGCTATGCCACTGTATCAAAAGCTTTTTTATTTTCGGTTTTGTCTACTGAGGTAAAAGATGCACTAAAAATGAAGGTCTTTCTTTTGTTTTATTGCTTTACAGGTTGTTCAGTCATTTCGCAGTTTGCCATCACTGCACAATAATTATTAGAGCTGTCATTATTTTGGGTATTCTTTATTGAGGGACTCGCAGTTGATGACTACGAAAGGGAATTTTTGAGCTATTGAGAATTTTTTGCATAAGAAGAGTAAAAAACGATTACAGGAAACGGGAAAGGAAAACATGTAGAATATCAGTGACCAGCACCTAAACAATATTTTTGTCATCGTAATTGTTCCAAAATTTTGTTATAAACCTAATTAGGAAAAACTGGAAAATTTTTATATTTTTCTGGAAATATGAAATCCCGCACTTGTTTCGTTCCTTTCAATTTCCATTTATCTGCTTCAAATACTGTCTTCGATTAATTGTTCCAAAAGTTATCTTTTTTTTTATTGTTTGGTGTTTAAACTTACTGATCTGATGATTTAGATCATTGTCTTAAAAGTTAAGCTATCACATGCACGACAGCGTCGTAGTGATGAAATTGGCCGCTGTTGCTGTGACGTGCATTTAAGCAGGATTAGCTGGAAAGTTATCGATACAGTACAAATATCGATCGCAAAAGCTACTGTAGCTTATGCTTTTTATTTTAAAGTTTGCTACTTTGTAGATAATTTTCAGTCATTTTTCATGTATAGGGTTCTTGAATTTACCCTGTTTACTAGTCTGAATTTAAAAAAAATTTTAAATCATTTTATGCATGGATTTCACTGAAAGGACTTTGATTTTTTAAATAAAGCAATGCCAAGTGATACTGAATAAATGCGAAGGTTTCCAAGAGGTAAAGAAAAATAAGACGAAAAATCTTGCGTGTGCGTGAACGGGAAAAAGAACTTATTTAGAAACTCCACTAATTTTAACAGCATTTCTGTCACTTAAATTTTTAAGAAATCCTACGCGGATTTTTGTATTTTCCGTGACGCTAAGAATGTAATTTGACGACTTTAGCTAAATATGTGAGCGGGGGTCTGCAGTTTCATTGGGGAATTTTTCAAAAGCGAAAAGGGCAATTTGAAGATCTTAAAGTGTGAAAACACCAGTTTCTCAAACTTCACAGGGAAACTGAGGCGACTTACGGTTAGATAAGGGACAGCCACAGCGGTTATACTCCGTTTTAGTTCCGTTTTTTT